GAAAATCTCAAGACTAGATAAAGTCCTTTTAATTAAAATTCTAGCATAGTGACAGAAGGAGACATTGCTATTCTTAAACTCCACTAACCTATTTTCCTGCTTTTTACATATTTTCAGTGCCATATGAGCCACTATGGTAAAAAGGATTAACACCATTCTCCACCTGCTCCATGACTTTCCCACACAGAATTTCATCAAGTCTAACAATATAGAACTGTCAAGCCTAATATATCATGATAATCCAGGTCAGAATATCACTTTAAAAAATAATAATCATAGAATCATAGAATATCAGGGTTGGAAGGGACCTCAGGAGGTCATCTAGTCCAACCCCCTGCTCAAAGCAGGACCAATTCCCAACTAAATCATCCCAGCCAGGGCTTTGTCAAGCCGGGCCTTAAAAACCTCCAAGGAAGGAGACTCCACCACCTCCCTATTTTGAATGTGCGGTATTGCTGACCTCAAAATATCAAAAATCTAAAGAAATAAAGTCAGATTGGTCCAAAAACCATGTTGTTGTTTTTTTAAAGAGAGAGAGAGAGAGTGTGTGTGTGTGTGTGTGTAAAAAATATACATTTATGGTTTCTCTTGATTTTTGAACTACACCTGCCCTTCCCCAGTGTGTATGTGACAATTAGTGTTGCCCACTCTCCCAGATTTATTGGGTGAAGTGATTTAGGCCCTTGCTGAAGGAGCTCTCACTCCCACATCTGCCCAGCCCCTGCCCAGTGATTAATTCTGCCCTCCATTCATTCCCCTCCCCCATCAGTTCAGCCCACTCATCAGTTAAGCCACCCAATCCCATCTCTCTTCCTGGATTTCTTCACCCATCTCTCCTACGCCTGAAGAGAGGGCTGCAGCAAGCCCACCCCATTTCCAGCCTGGGTGGCTCTTTACTCCCTTCTGCCCTTTCTCAGGCAAGGTACTACAGGGCAGGGGAGGAGCAGAGGTGCCACCCTATTCCTGTTGCTCAGAGGGGGGAGGTGGCAGAGCCCCTTGATCTGATGGACCCATTAGCTCTCTCCTCCCCCATCCCTTTCTATAAGAATGACTTCAGATAACTAGAAGGGGGTGGGGAGGAGAGCTCTGCCTACAGCAGCTCTGATTGGTTCTTCAGCCCCAGGAGGTGGCCAGGTGGGACAGTTAGAGGGCTCAAATTTGCTAGAGGGCTGGGCACAAGACTGGTTCCAACCCCAGCCAAAATCATGTCGCTTGTGAAAAAATCATGAGGGTTGGCAACACTGTGTGTGGGGCTGGTTGCTTTTTCTGTTGTGTTTTTACCTCCATGTTAGACTGAAGTTCTAAAGGGTGATGACACAGGGAGCAAAGCCTACAAGTCTGGTCTTTGAAAGAGACTGTCATTAAGGACTATTTATCAGTGATCAGACCTGACCCACAGAGAACAATAGGATCTCTGAAGGCTGGGGGAAGCTAGTTTGCCCTAACTTTTCTGCAGGAGGTTGAGGATTGGAAAATGGAATTTCCAGAGCAGCAGGAACCAGATGGTGGTGGCGGTGGGATACGTAAACTTGTGGGACACACAAAGCAGAGACAGATTCACTCACTTCATGATTTGGAAGAGAAGGCAAGGGCAGGAGGAGAGATCCTGGACTCCTTAGAGGATTCTGCCCAGGCTCAAAAAACTCTGCAGAGTGGTGAGGAAACTGAGCCAGGGAAATGTCTAGATCTGTGTATCTCTTGTGCTATCTAAGTAAAAAGTAATTGTGTTTTGGAGCCCTTACAAAGCTAATTTGCTTTTTGCTATCACATGTCCCAGAAAGACAGTGTAAATCAGAGTGCCCATGTGGCTGGAATTCTGGGAGAGGGTGTGTGTGAGCTACTAGGAATCTGAGGAGTTAGCACTGATCCTAGGGGCCTGAGGCTGCTGGACCACGTAGTCCCATATCTGTGAAAGTATAGCAGACAAAGCACCTGTGCTCAGGAGATGTGCCAAAGAAGTCAAGGGGAGAAACAGTGCTGCAGCCTACTGAGACCCAGAGCACACAGGTCCTGCAGACTGGACCCAGCACGCAGCCTGGTGTGTGTCCAGCAGAGGGAGTTCTATTAGGGATGTGTGTGTGACAACCATGTAATCAAAAGTATTTAGTGTATGCACTTTACAGACATGTACACTTTCTTTTTTCATTTGTGGACCCCTAAAAAATTTCAAATGGAGGTGCTGCCCCCTTTGGAAATCATAGACATAGTCTGTGGACCCCCAGGGGTCCGTAGACCACAGGTTGAAAACCACTGTTCTAAGTCATTCATTAAGTAAAATGTTTTTTACTTTCCATTTTGTATCTCTAATTTTCTTTCTTTCTATCTTATTTTAATCTTTAACCTAGCCTGCTGTTGTTTCATTCCTGATGGTAGCTGTAAACACTGCATTTGTTTACTTGGTTGTGAGGCAGGCGTGCAACTACTACTAAGGATGAAAGATAATATCAGTGCTACTCCACAGATTCCCTGCCACCAATTCCAGAACAGCCCACATGACTCCTCCTTTCAGTGTGTGAGAGCAGGATTTCTGGGATGCTCCCGCCTGATAACTAGTGCTGGTTGGAAAACAAAATTTCCATTCTGCAGGAAATTGTGACATTTCAAAATTTGTTTTCATTTTGAATCTGAATGAAAAATTGAAATTTCAAAATGTACTGTTTTATCTCATTAAACAGTTTTATCTCAATAAGGCAAAGATCTTTGTTTTGATAATGTTTAAACATGATTTTAGATAAAATACTACATACAATATAATGCTACAAGTTAAATGCAATGGGTCAGTTTGATAAAAGTTAAAATGTTTCAGCTTTATCAAAATTAAACTAGAAAGCTAAAATGATTTGTTTCAACTTTCTCCAGTCAAAAATTTTGTTAAAATCAACACGTTCCTGCAAATATTTTGATTTCAGCAAATAGTGCATTTCCTGGGGAGGTGTGGAAACTGTCCCATTGAAAAATTTTAACCAGCTCTACTAATAACAGAGATCTTCATATTTGCATCCTACCTATCTTTGGCATAGCACTATAAAGTTGTTTCAGAGTTGCAATTAAAAAAAAAGTAATAAAATATCCTCTGTAAAATAATATAGGGCCTTTGGCATTGTACTCAGTGGTTATATATGATGCCAATTAAATGTAGCACACCTGAAGGACATTTCTTGAGAAGTATATTTTATTGGACCACACAATAATTGTAACAAAATCATATTTAGTAGAAGTGAGAATGTTTCATGGCTGTGCTGAGAATCAGAATATTTTGGGCCTGTGTGTGAAATATGAAAGGTCTACTTTTGTTAACAAGGCTATTGATATTTTTAATGAAAGTCAGTTTTTCTTAGCACTACTATTTTAAGGAGAGTGAAAAATGTTTTATTTTGTTGTCTGTTAATTTCCTCATGTAGAATTGTTCTGTTTTTATTTCTTATCACAAATTTTTTGTTCCATAACAAAAGAGTTGTGGTGAGGAGTGGGGGTTGGGGGCTGGGAGCAGAGCCAGGGCAGCAGCTGCGGCCAGAGGCTGGGGCCTGGGGCGGGGCCAGAGAGGAGTGGGGGGCAGAGTGGGGCTGGGTGGCGCTCCCTTCCCACCCCCCTATGGGGGTGGTCTGGGCTCTCCTGGACCCCCCTGGATGTTCCTCCACTCCCCACTAGGATGGTGCGCCCTACAGTTTGGGGACCACTACTCTATTCTTTCTGACAGATAGGTTTCTCATATCATACCTGTGAAATTGTTGCATCTAAATTGCATGGCTGTTCACACATCATCTAGTTTCTTGATTTCCTATAGCCATTTTATAATCAAATCAAATAAAATAAGCTGTCATATCTTAAAAAAGTCAAGGAACTAGTTTGTTGCTCTTATTTTGCTCTAATGGCCAACCACAGCCACTTTTGAATGTCAACTACTGAATATCATTACTGGAATCTCTAAATATCTGTATAACAAAGAACAAATATTTAAAGATAGAAACAAGACCTATGGCACCATTTTTAAATTAGTGCACATCTTATAGAGCTCCATTTGTGTGCAAGTGAATTAAGGAAGGAGGGAAAGGAGAGGAGTGTGAGAGAAGGTGAAAAAAGAAGAGGGGAAATAGGCTTACGCTGACTTCACATGTAACAATGAACTGTTCACTGGGCGGCAGCAGTGGGAAGGGTGGAGACAAAGAGGAGTGTAGTTGTAAATCAGTATTATTTATATAGTATCATCCTGTGACAGGTTTCCCATTATTATTATGGATTTCTAGGTCTCTGGGTGACAGTAAAATGTTGCTTCATAGTTTTTTCTAAAGCTCAGTTCTCTTTTTCTGGAATACAAAATAGTGGTGCTTGGAATTTTCCCTTACTCCTAAAAAGAGGGACAATAATTCCAACTATAAAATACTAGAAATCTTCAACTAGAATCTTATAGACACAGTGGCAGTAGATCTATATTACATTGTGTGAGAAATTGGGCCACATTTCCCCTGCCTCGTGTCATGCAATCCTATTGACATCAATAGGATTTTCTGAAGTGTAAGTCAGTGCCAGTGTCTTTCAGATGCTAAGTTACACTGAGATGGCTTCTTCCGATCTTCATTTATTTTCCTAGTGAAAGATAAAACATTGTGAAAAGAGTATGGACTAGCCTGAGTGTCCTGGCCAACATTATCTCCACTCTTAAAATAGATGACAGTGTCCACAAGTGTATGCTTTTGTAATAGTGCAAGCAAACACAGAAGCGGTCTGATTTCTTACTTTGTTTAAACACTTTGGCTTAACTTGAGTAAGAAATATGTCGTATATTTATTAGCCAAATTCTGTTGTCTCACGTAAAATGTTTATTGCAAATCTTTACGGTTATTTTCTAATAATACCCCTCTCACAGGAGACCCAATCCTGCAAAACTTTGCTTGTGTGAGTATCCCATTTAATTTAAAGTTAATGGGACTACCCCGATAAGTAAAGATTTGCTACGTAACCAACAGATTTTTCATTAACATTATAACTGGCTTCCATTTTAGCTTCATCGATCCTGAAGAGAGAGAAGCGGAAAAGGACAAAGAATGTTCATTTTAACTGTGTTACCGTGTACTACTTCACAAGAAGGCAAGGCTTCACCAGTGTCCCGAGTCAAGGAGGAAGCACATTGGGCATGTCCACTCGTCACAACAGCGTGCGCCAGTACTCCCTTGGAGAATTTGCAATGGAACAGGAGAGACTTCATCGAGAGATGTTAAGAGACCATCTAAGGGAGGAGAAACTTAACTCTTTAAAACTGAAGGTAAGAATGGCAAGGAAACCTTGCTTGCTCCCATCTCCCACATTTTAAATGGATACCATCAAGACACCATAGGCCCGACATTTAACCTGGTCACTTTATCTGACTTCATCAAATTTAAATTCAATAGAAATGTTCCTCTGATTTTTAAAAAATTCCAATTAAAACAGGTTTTTGTTTGGATTAGATACATTAATCTACAGGCAATGCAATCAAAAAATGGCTGCATGGTGCTAGTGATGAGATATGGAAAGTGAAACTGACCAGTTTCTTTTCTTGACCAACTTGAACTAAATGCAAAAAGCAAACGTTAATGTTGAAAAGTACATTCCATTTTTAAAAAAATCAGTTTAATCTTCCACCATATTATAAGCAGCATAGGTATGGATGTTTATTTAAAAATATATATATATTTTTTTTAATCAGAAAGTATGCCTTTAAAGAAGAAAAATTGCAAAATTTCAGCTCTTTGTTTGACATAACTGCTTGATGCAAGTGCTTAGCTTATCAGTACCAAAGATTTCTGATTATACTAATCCAGTCTCTACAAATTGGAAATATGGTCCTGGGTTGGCTTTTGAAATACAGCATAGTAGATGTTCAACATGTGTGTGCTTTTTACGTTCAATGTATCATTGAAAAATTATGTTTAGAAACACTCGTCCTATTCCCGAATCTTATTAAAATTAGTGGCAAAACTCCCATTGAGTTAAATGGGAGCAAGATTGGGCAAACTAAGAATATGTATTAATTGTTTCTGTTATTCATTTATTTATTTTGGCATGGTTGCAAATTAATCAATGTAATTAGCTTTGAATGATTTTTAGAATTGTAGCCTAACCGCAGTCCTTTTCCCGCTATAAAATTATGCTGAGATTACATCTCTCTGTTTCAGATACCACTAGAAGGCAGATTCCCAAAACAAACTGGCATTATTCCGAGTTTAGAACATTACTCATATTGCCTCTTGGGCATTTTTTCACAGGTTTCTGCCTGACCTCCTTAAGAAGTCTGTGTGGCTCTTGCTACACAGACACTGTTGTAATTACTCTGCTGTCTACTAAAGTTTCTAGTTGAACAGTGAACAGTTTTTTTTAATAACTTCTAACCCTCAACTCTCATGGTGATTAGGACACATAGGTGAATGAAAGACAGACATTGGAATGGATTTTAGGCAGCAGACCACAACTTTATTGACATTGGTAGGGGCTATATATTCCCTCCCATCTCATACACCAGGCATTTACCTGGATCTCGTGTGGGATTATGGGGCTCCCACCAGGTAACAAATAATTTGGTATAGACCTGTCCCTGAGAACTCAGCTCACTTCTGAGTCCTCTAACCCTCCCACTGCCCAGAGAGTAGAGGTTACCAACAGGGGCTTCGGGCTTCCCCGTCTCCTTACAGGCACAAGATCCACCAATGAAAATCCCAGATCTCATTTACCTCTAGCGCTCTCATCCCTTTCTCTCCCTCCTGGGAGTGGCAGATACTCATTTTTGGTCCACTGACCATGCCCCCAACCCGATGAAGCAAGAGGGGAGGCACAGTTTTTTTGGGGCACAGATTCTCTAACCAACCAAATCCTCTCTTGCTGAGACTAGGCGTGGAGCTGGGGAGGGTTGTTTAAAGTAGACAGTGACCTGTAGTCAGGATTTTAAATTCCTGTAAATTCCCTTTTCAGATATTGGTGTAGCAATAAAAGTTTGATTTCCATTCCATGCACCCCCTCCTTCCAGTCTCTAACTACTGGATTAATTCCTGTAGCCAAATGGAAGGGCCTCACCTACAGATGGAAGGTTCTTCCCTCACTATTTCTTAGCAGCTGGTGGTGACTGTGGGGAATCTGTTTTGGGGTAGTAGGTTTACTTTGTATTGCCATCCGCACACATTCAAAACTCATGAGTCAAGCCCCCAAAATCATGAGACTGATTTAAAAATCATGAGATGTTTTTTAAAACTGGTTCTTTTTATTTGCCTTCTGATTGTTGTGCCTTTGGCATATGTTTGGGTTTGTTTTCAAGATTTTCTCTGAAACCATGAGAACTAGAGAGGTGAGAGTCTTCCATAATCAGTTTAATTCAGGACCATGGCTTTAAGAAAATAACAAATGTTGTGAGATTCACAATAAAACCACGACAGTTGGTAACACTTTCTGTCAGAATATGTATTCCAGATACTAGTCCTGATTCTCTTCTCATTTAAAGCAGTATAGATCACTGAAGTCAATGGAGTTACTGGTGTTAAACTGTTATCAATGAGAGGAGATTTGAGCTTAGTATGTTGAGCTCATAATGGGAGCTCCACTCCCATTGATGCTAATGAGCACCATGTTGAACACTTTACTCCAATATTACTCATTCATGCCAGCTTCCTTTTTTCAAAAAGTGGTTGTGAGGAGGAAGAGGGGGAGAAATAATGTTATCATTGAATCCCATTCAGTCACAGTCAACGTTAGAAGTTTGAGGGAACATTCATTGTCTAGCCTTTTAGGCAGTCATTCTGAAGCATCAAAGATGTTTTGTTTTATGACAGTTGGGCCTTGTTGATTTCTATTTACGGAGATGGAAGAGCTGTTTTGCCATTTGAGCTGTATCTCAATGAACACAAGGAAGAAAGACATTACAGTTCTTAGGTGATAATATCAGTGATTATGATCTTGATTTGAAGTGTTCGCCCAGGAGTTACATGTAAATTGCTATACAACTGCACAGAAAGCCATTTCATAAAATGAAGTAGGGAAAGTTTTTGTTTGAAAGGGTTTTTTTTTTAAATTACTGTAAAAGCTGTGTGTTAAAAAAGAAAAAAATTAATAGTTTTTATTTCAGTTCTCCTGGTTTGTTAATTTCTACATTGCATCAAATATGTGGACTCCTAGGTAGCAAACATGACATATTGTGGGCCTCATTCAGAAATGAATATGTCTGACAAAAGGAGTGAGTATCTATGTTAGGTACTTTGTTTTACTTGCTGGGAATAGTAGTTTCTTATTTAGCTCCCCCATATTATTAAAATCAAAGAAGAATTTAAAAAAATACAAAGATTATTTTAACCATTTAAGCACGGGGCAGGTTTGGCACGCCAGCATTAACAGATCAGCAGTGGTTTGTGAAAATTCTAATTGCTGAGTCAGAGCATAAAAACTATCCTGCATGGGAGGATTTGCTTTAACAAATTGTTATTTGAGGAAACATTAGTAACCTCAATAAATTCACCAGCATGACCTGAGTGATATGAAAGTTCACCGATCTGGGAACCAACATGTGTCAGCACATTTACCTTGCACCAAGCTAGACTTTGCTTTACACATTGCAGAGGTGAGCCTCCTGAAAACAAGAGAATCCAAAGCAAAACCACCAGAAAAGAACTTAGTTGTCTACTCTACCACAGTATAGGAATAGGATTATTCTAGCAGTCCTTTTCCCATTAAAAAAAAAAAAAAGTTAAAACCATTATTCCAGGCCTTCTCCATCTTTTTATGAGTATCTAACAGACATCAGAGAATGGGCTTAAAGAATAGATGACAAGGAACAGTATATGTTCAAGTCCAATTTTCTAGTCTCTGAATATCTGTAGGGAAGATCTCTATGCTATTTTGTAACTGCTATATAAACTAGGTAAGATGGATAAAAAAAGACAAAATGGTATGAATATGGTGCATTTACCTTTAGCTTGTGGAGATATGTGTTTAGTACTTTACTAGAAGAGCTGTTAGCTGCATAGTAACTGCAATAGACAGGTTTGAAAGGGCTCAATTCATTCAAATCTGTCTTGGAAATGTCAGTAATGGGTGAACTGATTTAATATTTTCAATATTTGGATTTCAGCATTGCAGCTGTGCAGCTCTAAAAAATTTCATTAACCCTTAAACTCAAGAATATATATAGTTCAGTGCACATAGTTATGGACAACTCCTGTGATTTTTAGGAAGGTCTATTAGATTCCTTTGATTATATTATGAATGTCCCTATTTTTCAGCCACTCCCCCTCATTTTGAGTGTACTATGCAAGTAGATGCCAGGAGTTCTAGCAGCCAGAATCAAAAGAAAATAAATTCACCTGCATTATTATTTTGCCCTGTTTGCACTCTGGTGAAACCTGCTGTAGAAACTAAGTTTCCTTCACCTGATTCCCTTGTGGAGAGAAGTTTTCAGCTAAGGGGGTGGAGAGGAGTGTGGCATAAAGTTCAATTTCTCAGGTTTTATAGAGGCGAAGCGAATTTCACACCAAGGCCTTAAGTGTATATCAGCCCTTGTTTGGTCCTTTGCACTGCCATGAATTTCACTCTGATAGCTTTAAAATATAGACTGTTATTTCTCCCTATACCATATTTTACTCAGATTAGCAATATTGTGATATTCACAAAAGGATTTAATGCTCCTCTAAATTCTTTCATGAAAATGTATTTTGTGACAATTAATAGTCTCAAGCTGCCCTTCGTATTTAGCTGATAAATTGCTTATTTAGGAAGTGGTCTACAGTAACTGGGAGAAAGTGTGTCACTTTTTATTCTGTGGTTATTCTGTGCCAACTAATTCAGAGTTGCTGTCACCACACAGAAGAAAAGGTAACAATAAACTTGCCAATAAACCTTGATTATTAGCAGTTGAAAGACTTAACTATAAGTAAGAAGTCACTACCTGGCCTGAGGTATAGAACTGACTTTCATATGACAGACTTGGGATTATGTGATCTAAAGGCTATGATCCAAACGTTGCAGATTCTGACTTATTTGTTGACAAGAACACAATCCTGTTAGGAGCATGTGCTGGTTACCAATCACCCAGTTCAAGTTCAATTTCACTTGCAAGCATTCTGAGAATATAAAAACTATGAAAATATTGGCATGAAGGCAACAGGTTATACAACTCAAAGAGCGAAATCAAACTGGTATGAGCGTAATCTAATGGGATGAGCACAGGACTGGGATCAGGAGACTGGGTTTAAATCATGGCACTGCCACTGCGTGTGATCTTCAGCCTTACTTAAGATTGTTTTCCCA